TGTTGAACTATTTCAAAATGATGGCTTTATTCCCCTGTCGTTCCTCCACAAACTCACTTTGGCAAATGGTGTGCATAAATCACGCATTATGCTCCACGAAACTGACATACAAGTCATGTTAAGCGAGTTCGCTTAATTACTGCTACTAAGATGATTCATTTGAGCTGTCCAGCATTTTGGTCGATTTTGCGGCTGAGTTATGATTGCGATATGAGTTTTTCCATTTTCTTTCTTTCCGATGGACTTATGATTACGTACAATACTTTCAAAACACTGAATTCTATGATGAGATAATCGTTTTCATGTTATGCACTCGTAGACTGGGACATCCGTTGTAATTATTTATGGCCTTAATGTGGAAGTTATTCATTGGTTGTACTGTAATTTTGATATGTGATTGATTGATCAAATAATTAAGAAATGCAAGATAATTGAATTTGTCTACTGTTAGCATTCTGAATCTGCTGGTTAAGTATGTTATTAACATCTTCCAACTATTAAACTTTTTAAATATAAATAAGATATGCAAATCATGTAATAAATTGTGGAAATTTTCATTCTAGGTTGGTAGTATTACGTTCACAGTACTGTCTATTGTTAATTGCTAACGTAATTACCTGGTACAGTTTGTAGAATAATACAATAATATTAACAATAGTATTTCATCATGACTGTTTTGAAAACGGACTAATACTAGAAACAACAAATATTGTGATATTCAACAATTGATTGATACAGTTTTGTCTACAGGTATATTCCTGTCAGATTTTTGTATCTTCAATGATAACAGATGTATGTTATGATATTGTTTAATTAGCTTTGTGGATTAAGTTTAGCTATGAGCCTCATGTGCCAACACCTTGGTAGGTGAACTGACACCACAAAGCTGACCTAATTCCACATATGTTTAACCACGTAGGAAAAATACTGTATGAAGATTCTGATTGGTCAATTTGTTCTTGCAAGTCTGGCTATGAGAAATTTTGTGGCAATTCTCTTTCCCACTGTATACATCTGATCATATGTTTTTTTTAAGTCTAAAATATACATACTGTACTGTAGTGTATTTTAAGACTCCACCTTGGGAGGTAGAATTTGCACCAAAAATAAAGGATGAGCATGTGGAATTTGGTTAGCCATTCATAAAAGCCTGAGAGTTAAGCTAAATTTTCTTGAAGGCTAATTCTTTTTCCCACTGTATAAATCATATGTTTATTCTTATTTTCAAAAGAATAATTTTTAAAATCATAATTAAAGAGTTGAAAGAAGCAGTTCCGTACAATTATGGATTTGCAGCCATTGTAATTAATTTGTCTAAAAACTGACGCAATTAAATATAATCGCGTTATTAATATCACATGTGAAAACATAAATAGAATATCCAAATGAAAATAATTAGCAAATTCGATGATTAATACTGAATGTAGTATTCGACGGAAGGAATTCACATTTAAAAGGGAACACCCATCTTCCAACAAGGCAGTGACACGGAAGAATATGAGTATATGGGAGTAATGAGGATTGAATGGCGGGCATATAGGTTAGGACGATATGCATACACTGTGTCGTAAAGAATTATCAATTTACATTAAACTGACATTTGTCAGTGGTATATGAGGTCAGATGCATAGGACAGAGTAATTGAATCATATTCTGAAGTGATTAATTTGGATTTCTAGAAGTACTTGTGTTTAGCCAGAAAGCGGGAGCTAGATGGTAATTAAATAGTCATGCGAGACTACAACTGTATTCAAACTGTCAATTGCGTCGTGGATCCCAGATCGTAGAGTCTGAAATCCCCAAAAAAATTCTTGGATATTACCACGATCTTACGGGGTAGAAAATGCTGACATTTCCTTGCAAAATACTGGAATCATACAAAATGAAGATCGAGTGATTTTCATGTATATACTGAAATGTTGTGATCAGCAACCAAGAAATATTAATTTGGTCCAATTTTGATACTGTGTATGATCAATGAAGAACCTTCTTCCTTTTTTGTTATTGATTCAGTTTGCTTTTGGGTAATCCCTAGGCTCTGTTGATTGTACAATTTAAATGATTTGTTCTCTTTTGTTAATGTAAATTATTTTGTTTTTGAAAATGTTATTCCACAATAAAGCTTTGAATGATATAAATGAATTGTCATTTCCTGGAAATAAATATTTATTAATGCTTGGATCTTTACAGTCTGCAAACCAAGAGATTTCTACTAAAGAGATTTTCATGCAAGCTATTATATTGGTCTCATGTTTTCCTTAAGATATCAGTTTGAAAATCACGGATATTTTTCAAAATGTACCAGAATTTAAAACAAAATTTAACTTTTCTCAACAAAAAAATATGTTTGATTTTATGGTACTTGGTCTGAAAACCTGCAATATTTTTACAAAAGACACCAAATTTTCCGAAAACCCACTCTTTTTAATACTTTGATAAAAAAAAGATTGTGAACATTTGACTTGGTGTGATTGAACTTCTTCAGTTTCCAGTTCCAAATTATGGAAATCAGCCAGGACATTAGAATGGAATGACGTATAAATTGGTGGTGAAATGTGGCTCTATGGGGAGTCTCTCTCTAATGTTGTCATACTATGACTTTTTTGACATTTGCCAAAAGTACAACCAGTTTATATTGGCTTTCACTGTTGTACGAATGTCTTATTGTATATATAAGTAGGTTCTATTTAATGGATATACTGCGTTGGAAATAATATCGTACTCTTGCCGACTTTAATGCAAATAATTTAATGAGTTGCTTAAAAGCAGAACATTAAGAACATATAGTACACTAGGTTGTGATAAATTGTTCTTTCTAGAAAATAGAACAACTTGTTCCTGGCCATCAGTTTTTACACCCTCCAATTGCCTTTGGTTTGCTTTCTTAAGTCTTTTCTTAAGTGCAAAAATATTTTGTGTTGTAATTATTAACACTGAACTTTCTGTATTCAATTTGATAGCTGTAAATTAAAGTTTGAGGTATGCTAAAATCAATAATTTTATTTATTACTTACATTGTACAGTATTTGCTTGTTTGTCATACATTTGACCGGAGTATATAAGCCAGCAGTAGCATACACTAGTTGCCTGATGACATGTGACACATTGAAACACCTCATTAATTAGAATTAGAATTTTTATATATAATTTGGTGATCGTTTCATTTGTCATGTAATTGACAATTAAACTACATAAAATGATTGTAATAGATAAATCAGATAAATGTGTTAAAATTTGTGACCTTAATAAATATGTAACTGACAAAATGTCTTAAATTTGGTATGGCATAAATGTTACTAAGGGACATGGAAATGGACTAAAATATAATGAATAAATCAACTAAAATAATAGAATAAAAACAATCGAGTACTGTCATCATATTTTTCCTTTATTAATATTAATTAGCATGATAAATATCCAAACTTAATGTCAACTATATAAAAAATAATGTTATACAAAGGTCCCAATAGTTATGGTTTTAATATTATAAATCATTAAAAGTACAAGTTTTCTTAAAGCAAAAACATTTTTTTTATGATGAAATAATTGATGGCCCAAATATAGTACTTTATTCTTCACGTAATTGTTATTTATGAAAACGGACAACCCTATTTTGCCGCATACAATGGTTGAATAATGTGCTTTGCTTTATAATCGCTTCATTAATGATATCAATTTCACCGATAATGGTACCGATGATGCGTTGTTAATGGTTACAGTAATTTTGGTATGACTAATGATGATAGATAACAAATAACAGTTACATATCAATTACTTAACCCCCTCCCCCAGCCCCCCCGGTACAGCATGATGTGTGGGATGCAAAAATCAATAAGCAAATTTTTAAGTCGAACAAATTTCCCTTGCATTGAGCAAACAAAGCAATTTCGGAGTCTCTCTTAATGACATGTGCTCCCATCAACCACAATGCACTTAGTCGTCATGACAACAGATGACTGTATTATCTACTCTGCATTTGCTCTTTCATTAAGTTAATTAGATTGAATGGATGGTCGAATTAATTACAAGGCTCTTAGGAGTTAATTCCGAGTTGCTATGGTGATAAATGAGTGAACTTGTTTTCAGTAGTGAATGGATGATTCATTGCTAAAGAAAAAAAATGAAGAAAAAATTTATCAAACAATTAAAAAAATATCGCTGTTTACATTAAGTTAAGTGAAGTGTGCAAATTGTTATCTGCACCTCAATATCACCTTTTCCTTCCCTATTGTCTGTTCCAACTAATTTTTCCGTGTTCATTTCTCATCCTCCTCTCTTTACAATAACCTTCCCAATTCTCATCTTGTTTCTATATCAAGTTACTCCGTCAAAACCACAATTTTCTTTCCCAGCTATATCTTACCTACTTCCAACATTATATTCTCTTTTCAAATCCTCATTTTTCATTAATTCCTTATATTCCTCTTCTCATATTGTATTATTTGCATTATTATTTTTTTTTATTTGTATTGTAATTATTATGATCTCCTCTCTTGCATCATCATCTTCCTCCTCTCCTCTTCCATTCCGTATGAAGATTCCCAAATCAAATTGAAATTTAGCAATTCCATATATATACTGTAGGCAATAATGTCCATCGTCATCATCATCCTCTGCATCCTTGTCTTATCATCTCACTCTTTCTTCTTTTATCATTACCTACATTGTTAATATTCATTTGAATTTCACATACCATCATCATAATCACCATCATTTATATAGATGACCTTTGTCCTTTCTATCCCCACAAAATTGTTGTTCAAGGTTTCAATAATTATTTTGAAAACTGAAAAATCAGTGTCTAATTTAAAAAATTTGTACTTGGCCTCAATTTCCTTAATAATAGCGTACTTTATGAGGTTTGAGGCAAATTAATTTCGCCTTAGAGGCAGATGAATTCAAATTTTATTATTAACTAACTAACTGAACTTCAGCTTAATTAGTTTACTGCTTGCACTTAATTTTCAGTAAAGCATAGCAGAAATAAAAACATGAATATTTAATTTTTATTCTTTCTGCTTTTATTATAGGGACAATTTCAAAGAAATTTTCTAACCGGGTTTAATTATAACAACAACGGACGAATCATTCCGACGAATCATTTAAACCAAAATAACATGTCAGAGGTAGGTTGAATTTTAAATCACAGAAGTTTTGTTGACTTAAACCGGGCGCACACTGCATAGTACAACTATGTTCTCTGTGAACACTTGACGCAGTCTGAACGCATTGTCATTGAAAACAATCTGTTGTGCACGTCATCCTGTTATGTTTTGTGTAGAATTGCGTCGGTTGATGACTGTCAGGCACAGTGTGCTTCCGGCTTTACATACAAACATAAATTTCGCGATATTTTCGGTTTTGTACTGTACCGATGGTAGTTAGATTGCTTTTGATTTTTGCAGTGTTTGGTACACCACAGATATCAGGAAAGTTGAAAGATGATTATTTTTTTTTGTGGGGTCCCTCCGGTTGTGAATTAGGCATTTTACTGGGAGATAATCCCCTACTCTCGTTCAAAGAGTGCTCTGCATTATTGCTCACAGCTTAAGCTTCGCATCTGAATGATGGTGCTATGCCAGCCCCCTGACCCCAGCCAAAGGGCAGGACACCTCCTTACAAAACCTGTGAAATCATATCAATTTCAAATCTGTTAAGTTGGCAACCGTGAGTAAAGAGTATGTCTTGGGCCATTTATCTCTTAAATTTTTTGGGGAAAAAAACTCTATTGTTCTCTCTGCCTTGGACCAGGTGCTATCTATAATCTTACCACTTGTTCCAAAATACAAAAACAAAGATGATTCATTAGTTGTCAAGCTTGCTCTCATTGTGAAAACAAACAAACCAAGTAAATGGGACAATAAAACTAAAAGTAAGATCTGTCAAACAAAATTGTATTGTGATGTCAGAATACAAAGAACTAAAATCTTCCAACTGATTGGGAAAATTTTCCTTTTGTTTGGAATTATTATTTTTTTCTTTTAATATTTATGATGAGTATTGTTCAGCATTTCATACTAATTATTCACCTGATAACACACATTTCCCAGAACTCTCCTGTTCATTTTATTGTTATTGTTGGTGGCAGCATTGATAGTGAGGAGTAACTAATATTATTTGTTTTCATATATCTTTTGCCAATTTCTATATTAGTCACAGACATGTTACACCAATTTAAAGATTTTTGATTGGTTTGTTGCACTTTCTTAACACAAAATTATTTCATTTCATTTTGAAAAAATAAAATTTTTGAATAATATTTTTTTCCTTTTTGTAGACATTTCACACCCCCAGCTTTGGTGATGATGAGTTCACAATCCCACAAATCTCTCCACCGGCAACTACAAATATCTCTAGTATGCCATTTGATGCTCCGGCACCAGTATCAACCAGCTTTAGAGATTCTTTAGCAGATGCCAGCTTTCCAGGAGAAGGCCTTCCAGAGTCATCACAAGGCATACAACAGATGACACCATCCCAGAGGATGTCTCAAGGCAGTGGAGGGATGCCGCCGGGAGGCGCAGGGATTCCTCCAGTGATGTCACAACCAGTAATCACCTCAAATTACACCACCACTACAACGCAATACACACAACCTCTGTCACATATAACTGAAGCGCTTCCCTCCACTACTGGTACAGGTTTCTCACACAACGCTGTTGTCAATCCACAGTTTCCACCACAGAATGTCTTCATTCCACCGATCACGGAGAATGAGTCGTTCTTCAGACAGGAGACTCCTTCAACCACATTCCACATGTCAAACGTCCCACTCATGTACAGTCAAGAGCAACCACTCAGCCAGTTCTCAACTATCAGCCACTCTGCAATGAATGACCAGCTAGGCATGCAACTAGGCCGGATGCAGGGCAGAGGTATGGCACCAGGATTGGAACATCTTGGGCACGGGGCATCACCTAGTAGTAGCACGAAAAGCTCACCAGTGAAGGAATCAACAAGTGATGACAGCGATGATAACACACCTTTAGCACAGGTATGGTGGTGTAGTGTGTATTAATCATTATAATCTTCTTATGAAGGTCAGAATAATGTGACTGAAAGAGACAACAAACCAGTGATTCTTCTCAGCACCATGTTAAAAGCATGATTTAACTGGAAATTTGTTTTAATTGCAAATTTTCCATGCAAACCTTTAAGAAATATATTATGACTATTATAGTTGTCTTTCTAAAGCTTGCTTTACACATAGATACCTTGGTGATGACAAAGATTAATTTAAAATAAACATTATCTGAATGGGGTTGGAAATTCATACTTTATGTTTGTTGGAATTCTGAACTTTTTCTTAGCTGTGATTGGCCATGGTGAAAGCCTGATCCCAATACTTCTCTGTGCTGTGAATCATGCCAAAATACTTGATCAACATAACACCAAACACACAGAATCTGGCCCTAGTTTCTTCAGCTATTGGTATGTTTCATAATCAGTCAATTCATTTTATAGTATGTGGCGAAGAAAGCAGCCGAGAAGGAAACAAAGGGTAAGAAAAGACCTGCAAAGCGAAAAAAGAAGAAGGACCCGAACGAGCCACAGAAGCCCGTATCAGCATATGCGCTCTTCTTTAGGGATACACAGGCGGCTATCAAAGGTCAAAATCCCAACGCGACATTTGGTGAAGTTTCAAAGATTGTGGCATCGATGTGGGACAGTCTGGATGCCGAACAAAAACAGGTAAATTGATAGGAAAAATTTTAAGAGAAAAGTACTTCAAAATTTGGCAATATCATAATAATTTGTGTATTAATTATGATTAATTTATTTGCTAGACCTCGAGTTGAGATGAAAAGGTAGTTAAAAGCTTGTTCTTTATGTAAAACACCAAAAACACCAAATAATGCTGTAATAAACTATATAAAGTTTAAATAAAGTATAAAATAGTATAATAAATGTTTATATTATTATTTTAAAACTAATTGACTTGGAATTGTCCATAAATTTCATAAATTGACAACTACAAAAAAATAGATTAATTATAGATTGCATATGTTCATCTAAAGTAACTTAATAATTTGATTTGTATGGTGCCCGATATTAATTGCTATGTAAAATCAATAATAGGAATTAAATTGAACAAGTTCTTAAAAATATCTAGGTTATGAGATAAGCAACAACACCTTACAGAAAGGCCTTCGAGTCAGTGTGGCAGCCAATTCAATTTGAAATACATTACACAAAAAAAATTAAATTGGGATGATAAATTTTGAAATTATAATTTTTTGTACAATTTTGTATTATTTGGAATTTTGCTTTGTAGTACTACAGTTATTTAGCTTCAATTGAATATTAGCATGAGAATAATTTACTCACTAATTTAAAAATGAATAAATATTAGTGTCTAATATATCTGGATAGATATTAAATTAGCTGTATAAAAGCTATGTCCAAATTATAATTTTCTTGTACAAACAACTGTTGTATGCCCATATATAGTCATGATGTGCCTATATATGGGCATGATGTGATGTCATGCTCATATTTAGGCATGTCACTCAAAGTTTGTCATATAAAATTTGGTTTGGGCAAAGCTTTAATCAATTAAAGGATTTTCAGTGAAAAGCTGGTGAATCCATTTTTTTTAAAATTAAAATTTAAAAAATAAACCTAATAATTTTTGGAGAAAAAAAATGAAATACAGTGTAAATAATGTGTTTAAAATTAAAAAAAAAAAATTTAATCTAAAAATATTAAAAAAATAAAATTTAAATAAAAATACATAATAAAAATAGTTTTTATCTTACCTTTGAAATTAGCTATTTAGTTATCTTATTTAATCATTTTAATAAGAGCAACTCAAAATTCTTTTAGGGTTTCAGATTTTACTATACAGGCAATAGATCTTTAAATAGATTCTGTTATTCAAAACTTTAAAATATTAAAATCACAGCAGTTTCAATTATTTCTTGAAGTCTTAAATTATTCATAAAAATCTTTTATTAATTTGATTTGAAACAAATCGTCAACTACAACTAGTTTTCACTCTTTCAACAATTTCTTTACTCCACGGTTGCATGACTATCAGTGCTAGCGTGCTTTCTCCGATATTTCCCAGTGGTTTCTACATTAATTATCAACGTATCAAGTTCGCAGTACACTATCTTGAATAGGTCAGCTATGATAAGATGTATATGAAGAGCACTTCATTAGGTCCTTCTTGAAGCTGGTTTGTAAATACGTGCTCGTTGGAAACCCGATATGTTTTGATCATTAGCGATGAGAAAAGGACATTCAACTTGAGCTAATCAATCAATAGATACAATTATGTTGACTCATTCTACATCTTCTAAAATTTATTTATTTTATACCTTATATTGAACTTAATGGAAAGTGCATATTTATGCATTGTTGTGCAATTCTGGTGGGTGGAGAAGAGGAAGCTGGCCTAAATTTCATAAATTTTTGAAGATAAAAAATTACATTTATGTTTAAAGCTGAGAGTGCCATATCTGGCCATCTAGGAGTGCCATAACCATACAAATGTTATGCCCCAGCCCCAATGGGGGGAGGGGGAAGGGTTGGGCTATGTTGGTCTTGACCCTCCATCTGTAGTTGTTCTTCCCTCCATCTGTAGTTGTCCTTCACCGGGACCCTTTTGTTTTTCAATCCACCACTTCTTCGATCCACCACTGTTGGTGTATACGGAATTATACTAATAATAATGTACAGTAATGTAATAATAATGATGATAATATTAATAGCAAATTTAATCACTGTTACTGTTAGTAATAAAACTGAAAATATTATATTCGGTAATAATAAAATATTACCAGTAATTAATAATATCAATATACATTTAATCTCTAACAGGTAAATTGTAATTGATAATGATAGATGTTCAATTCAATTTAATTCAAATTTAATTTCTGGAAAAACATAAAAACAAAACATGATACTGACTTCCAAGGATTGCCAAAAAGTTATAAAAACTGTCAACTGGCTCTCCTGACAGCATCATTAGAAATTAAAAATCATAACTAGAAAGCAATAATTAATATTAGTATACTGCTACAACGCATACCAATAAAGGCCAATCTGGCATGAGGAAAACAACTTATATATATATATATATATACAACAATATATTATCTTCAAAAATTAAATTGAAAATTGTAAGTAGTAAATAATTTATGGTATGAATTAGGCTTATATTGATAAAAAAATATAATGTTTTAAAATCAAATAATAAAAAAAATATATTCAATAAATATAATATTTGAATATGACCTAGAAAAAAACAAAAATAATTTAATATTGACATTGTTAATAATAATTACAAACCACAATTACATTTACTTTTTTTAGTTACTTTTTGAACTTGGTTTGACTTACCAATCATAAAAAAAATATATATATTCTCAAAAGTATGGATGTCTTTCACATGTCTATGATTTATATTTCCCAAATGTACTGATTGCAATGCATTTCATTCAAAAAATCAGTTAAATTGTAAAGGTCATAGCAACTTTATAAAATGCATTTCCTTAGCACTGTCATAAGGTAATTATACATTAAGGGAAAAAAACCTGACAAAAATGATTTATTATACTATAAATTGTCAACTTTTGTAGCAACAATTTAATGAATGTTTTCTAGAAAATATAATGATTCTCATTTGTAAGGTAATGATCTTTCCAAATCAGATTGTACATTTTTTTGTATTTTCACAGGCCTACAAGCAAAGGACAGAGGTCGCGAAGAAGGAATATTTAAAGAAACTGGCAGCCTATAGGGCAAGTCTTGTGTCAAAGGTATGTTGCTGGACTTTTGCTGCCTGATCTTTCAAGAGACGGATCTATTCGTAAAGTTGAAAAACCGCATTGTGTATGATGTTCCTGGAAATCTCCTTCGAATTACTCATTTCATTTAAACAAAATCTTAATTGTTTTAAGTGGCTTTACTTGAAGCTAAAATAATTTATGTTTGATAAAAAATACTGTAAAGGTGATATAAAAGGACATTATAGAATTTGAAGATATTATACTGTACTTGAAAATTTATGTCAGTCAGTTGTTTCAGTGAATTCCTTTGATATTTATGATGACATAAAAACATATTTTGACAAATTCAATGTAAATGATCCGCACTTGTATATTGTTGGTTGGAACCCCAGTAAACTGCTCTAAATTGCTTGGAAATTTAATTAGGAACATTACCAGAATGGTTGGCTAATACTCCAAAACATACTGCTCCAAAACTTGAAGGCTTCTTTGAAAATTTGTTTGATTTTATAATAATATGTAGGCTTTTATACAAGTAAGTCTCAGAGCACTTAAATAGTATTAATAGTAAATGAATTAGCAAAGATTCTTGACATTGTTACTTCCACATAGAAAAATCATTGTTTTTGTCTGATCTTATAGGCTGCAGTGGATCAGGCTGAGCCAGAGAAGTCACCCACCAAGCAGAAGAAGGTATCATCCCCTCCTCTGACGACCCACCCGCCTCACTCAATGCCTAGAATCATTGCACCTAAGCCACCACACATGCCACTAGCAGTATCGATGTCATCGGGCCAGCAGCCTATAATGCACCCTCAGATTGTACAGAATCCGATTGGTGGACCAATGCCAATGACCTACTCACAAGGTCACGGTGATTCAATGATGATGTCAGCACAATCTCAAATGGTATGTTACTTGCATTTTCCCCTTCAAAAATTTCACTCAATTGTACTTTCATTTTCTTTTACAGTTATTAGAGTGGCAGGCTTTCAATCATGCGTTGATGAGAGCAGCAACTTAGCTCAGTCAGTTAAAATAGTGGAAGCCACTGTGTGTGCACTGCTGACATTTAAGCCCTCCTGTGTTCAGTATGGCCCATGTACTAACAATTTGAGAAAACATATTGTATATGCCAAAGAAAATATGTATCAGGACAATATTTGAAAAAAAGAAATGTCTACAGTAGTCTGTGTTGGATGTTATTGCATGTTTTGGAATGCTTCTTAAGCTCAATGTGACAACATACTGTGATATGCCCATATTTTGACACATAACACAAATTTGTCACATAAAATTTGATAGTTTGGACAGCCTAAGGGTCATCTATTTATGACGTTTTTTCTTTTTTCCCATCAGCCCGTTGGTTCAAACGGCATGTCAGCGGCTATGTGCACTCGAAGCGGATGCAATAAACCTGCAATCATCTCACCCGATTGGGACAACGAATACTGCAGTAATGAATGCGTCGTTAGTCATTGTAGGTAAGATTCCTCTTGCATCATCTGTGTAGAAATGTTGATTCAGCATGCTCGACATTAGTAGTGCCGTTGTCACGTCACTTGCATGAGTGGCAAGCTGTTGCCGGTGTTGTTTGCTGTACTTTTCAAGTATTTGCTGTATTTTTTCTTTGTTTTGACATTTTTTAGCATAGTTTTTCATGTTTTTGGCGTATGTTTTTTTTTTTATAAATGTTCACATTTGTTAGGCAAGACTTCTATTATACTAGTGTTTTGCGAACCTGGCATTCACCAATAATGTTTATTTAAAATTTGTTTGAAATTGTTTAACTTATTTAAAAATTACATTAAAGAAATAAAAATTGTTCCATATTTTTATCCCATCTAATGCCATGAAATCTCTCAATAAAAATATTTACTTTTAGCTCTGAACTAAAAAAAAATATTAATGCCCAATGACTGACCTGTCATAGCCATATTGCATTGCATTCCCTGTTCTTAAAATTTGATTATTATTATTATTATATACTTATTTAGCGCATATCAAACTTCTCTATGCGCTGAACATTATTACCCCGGATCACTGGATCAAGCACATATGGAACACACACTCAGGCCCCATAGGGGAATTCCATAATGTTGCAGCTGTATTCA